ATGTGTTTGTTTTTCATAGTCATAATTAATGACTAACACTAACAACAGTATCCATACACAAGATGTGTTTGTTTTTCATAGTCATAATTAATGACTAACACTAACAACAGTATCCATACACAAGATGTGTTTGTTTTCATAGTTATAATACAATGACTAACACTAACAACATTATCCATACACAAGATGTGTTTGTTTTCATAGTTATAATTAATGACTAACACTAACAACAGTATCCATACACAAGATGTGTTTGTTTTCATAGTCATAATTAATGACTAACACTAACAACAGTATCCATACACAAGATGTGTTTGTTTTCATAGTCATAATTAATGACTAACACTAACAACATTATCCATACACAAGATGTGTTTGTTTTCATAGTTATAATTAATGACTAACACTAACAACAGTACCCATACACTATTTTAACACTTTATGTAAGCTTCAGCTATTAATAATTCTTATATTTATATTATAACAAAATATTTGATAACCTTTATTTTATTTAAGTCACGCATGAGATAACTTCAGCTGGAACTTAATTGCAAAGTGTTTTCATCATACAATGTTTCCTTACCTCTATTTAACATATCTACAAGTTCGATATCAGTCACAAGGGCTAGATGATTAGTAATTATGTTTTCCAACTCTCCCGATAAAGAATTCCAAGCACAAACTTTCCCATTGCGATGTCCAGTAATTATCCAGCTACCTGGAATAAGATATACAATAATAAAATAAGGTACAACGCAAAAAAACTATTTGTAACATAAGTAAAAAAATTCAACTCGGTGATATTTTGTAGTATTAAGTTTGTTTTAACACTGTTTTTAATCATTTTGATTTACAAGAGATTCTAGCCTTCATCCTGAGAGTGAACAATAGAGCAGAAGAAACTGAATGTAGATATAACATTAGATTTGTTTAGACAGTGGTTGATAATACTATGGGTGTAGTAGGTTTAAGCACTAGTTTTTCTCTTACTTGACTACAGAGCCTTCTATTGGCTGGTTTATTATATCTCTGAACTAAAATATGACTAGAGAGGTACTCAATTAATGCTTTTTGTTATTATAATTGAAGAACCCTTTTAACCTGTTTTAATGAAATAAACTTGTGGATTTACTGATATTTTAAATGTTCTGTTTTAACTAAATTTTCTTTAACGATTTAAGGAATGAAACTGAATAAATTTCAGTTAAAGTTGACGTATGATAGACTTTAGTGGTAGTTTTACCTTAGTTACTTATGACAAAAACATCTAAGAGTGAGAATTTGTCATTTTGTAGATTTTCAATAGTAAATTTTATGTCATGACATTTATAATTTAAAAACTGGAGAAAATTGCTAACAAACTCAATAGTGTTAATCACCATAAAAGTGTCATAAACATATCTCCTGTAAAACACAGACTTAAAACCTTTATGACAGGACTGTAATCAAACTTTTTTTCATGGAAGCATAGGAAAAGGTCATGAGCCTGCATCTAATTAGACAACCTTGTTTGTGAACCTCACAAAGTGAGTCTGCGTCTAATTGGACAACCTTGTTTGTGAACCTCACAAAGTGAGCCTACTTCTAATTGGACAACCTTGTTTGTGAACATCACAACATGAGCCTACTTCTAATTGGACAACCTTGTTTGTGAACCTCATAACATGAGCCTACTTCTAATTGGACAACCTTGTTTGTGAACATCACAACATGAGCCTACTTCTAATTGGACAACCTTGTTTGTGAACATCACAACATGAGCCTACTTCTAATTGGACAACCTTGTTTGTGAACCTCACAAAGTGAGCCTACTTCTAATTGGACAACCTTGTTTGTGAACATCACAACATGAGCCTACGTTGGTCTGTTTTTGGATACATTTCTTCCATTATGATTGTCGTTTTTTCAACTTTAAAAATGATGAGAAAAAAGTCTTAGCAAGAGGATTAAACTTTTTTTCTTCTCCTTAACAAAGCTACCGAGGAGTATTATCTCCTAAGTCTTGAAACCTTCTTGCAATTGTCTAAGTATAAAAAAAATCAAGTCACAACTTTTAAACATATTAAAACTCATGCCAATGGTTATGTTTTTAGAAAATTACAAGATATTACAGCTAAAAAAGAATATTAGTTTATACAAGGATGAAACCAAGGCTTTGAAAATTTTTAAAATTGTAAGGACATTGTAATCACTACTGACAGAGGTGTCAGTAGGTGCTTTAATGATTTGTAGCTCGTACCCATAGGCACAGAAATTGTTATTGTTTCAGTTCTTTCCATGATATGAATTTAGTTTTTAAAGAAAAGTTAACTTTCCTCAACGGGGATGTTCAGGGATATTATTATTATCCCCCTTCACCCCACTCATGGCAATTGTATTTGTTATACTTGCAAGTTTTTATAATATTTAAATTTTTTTCAGTGTTTCAATATGATATTGATCATGGTTCTCTATTCTGAGTTTTCAAGACAACAACTGGGAATTTGGGGCACTGTCAAATAGAATTGAGGCACAGGCCACGTTTGCCAGCACCTAGTGATGCCTCTGACTATTGTGTAAATTAATGGAGCTGTGATTTGAAATAAACTGGATTACATCAAGAAATTAGAAGCTATTTGAATTAATACGGTAAAATTTATACAAATGAGGAGTGTTCTCATAGCAACAAGGGAAGCCAAACTAAAGGGATCCTTCTTATCAACTCTTAACCTCTCAACAACTAGTGTGCATTTTAAATACCCTTCTGTGCATGTCACAAAGTGTTAAAGAGTGACATTCAAATTATAATTAAACCAATTAACAATCAATGTATTTTAATGAAATTAGCATTATCAAATACATTATAATTCAAAGTTTTATATTATCTAAGTTTTTAATCCTATTTAAAAAGAAACATCTAAAACAACAATTAAAAACCACAGTTTTTGCTGTCATGTGATCTGCTCACAGTTACAGTTTCTTAACTTTAACTTGAAAAAACTGTGTTTGTGCACTGTAAAAACTTCCTTCAAATGTCCAAAGTTTACCATACACATATTTTACATTACTGTCTCAAGCTCATTCCAAGAACTCTTCCCCCCAAGAAACCACTGTAAATATTTTCTTAGTTTAAGGTCTACCATGCCTACTTGCAAAGTAGAAGCCATGTTGCTAAGCAACAGCTTTAAGTTGAATGGCATGCTTATAACCAATAGAAAAGAAGATTTTGTTCTTGGAGGTTTTACTCTAATGGGAAATGTCCTTTTTTAAATAAGGTGGAATGAGTTTAAGTCCATTGTTGTGAGCAGTGTGCACAGCAGCTTTATCTCACCTTATATATATATTAGTTTGATAAACAATTATATTTCATTTAGGTTTTACTTTTATATTTTAATTAATTATGTATTATTAGGGTTTTAAAATGCATATTTAAAAGATTTAATGATTTTTTGTTGCCTAGATTGTGAAAGCGACATCTTGTTTAGGCAAACACATCTCTGCCCGGAGGTTGCAGATAATAGCTATAAAGGTCCAAGGGCACCATTTGATGTGTCATTTGATGTGACAAAGAATTGGAAACGAAAATTTTAAATAAACTATAAGTGAAGAGATAAATATGTGAAATTACACATATGACAAAAAGAAGTTTTAAACCTTATCTGTAAAGAGTTAAAAGGTATTTCCATTTCTTAATATCAAACATTACATTGCAGTGTATGTTAATGAAAATATCAAACATTACATTGCAGTGTATGTTAATGAAAATATCAAACATTACATTGCAGTGTATGTTAA